ACAGTTTTTCAAAGAAAACACTGGAATAAATCTTCATCTCCTTGGAATTGGAAATGGTTTTCTTTTTTTCTAAAATACAAAACTTATGTTGCACACCCATGTTTATTGCAGCTTTGTTCACAATAGCAAGGAGCTGGAAACAACCTAAGTGCCCATCAACAAACGAATGGCTAGAGAAGCTGTGGTATATTCGCACAATGGAATACTATGCTGCATTAAAAAACAAGGAACTCATGCAATATTATTCAAAATGGTTGACTCTGGAGAACATTATGCTGAGTGAAATATCCCAGTCACAAAAGGACAAATATTACATGATGCCACTGTTGTAGAATGGGACTGTCCTTGGGGTTGGGGAGAGACTGAGTAAGATGGGTTCAATAATGTATACTGCACTGAAACAGAGGAGGGAGAGAACCGTTTAAAAGAGAGATATAACTGGGTATTTCTGTCATCACAGGAGACTAGAGCGAGGGCTACATGGTGGAGGAGACCTGGGGGAGGGTTTGTAAAACAATGAAAGAATCTTTTCTTTTACTTTTCCATAATTTTTGGACTCATGTACTTATAACTTGTTAGTCAAATTTGTGTCTTCTAGGTTGCAACACCCCCATGATACATCTTCAAGGATATGAACATGTACAGCCAAGCACAATCAATAAGAGTGCATCTAAATTCCAAAATCAATCTCCATAATAGTCTATGTGTTTCCTACTGCCAAAGGGGCCCTTTAGAGTAGTGAGAGAAGATCTTCACCCTGAAACCCACAGCGTCCCTTTTCAGCAGGAAGTAGCTAAGAGTATATGCCATCCCCTTTTCCTTATGACTCAGGGTGAAGTCTCTCTCAGGGAGGAGTGATAGGGAATGGCAAAGGACACACTGACAAAGAAGATTAATCAGAACTGGCTTTGACAAGCACTGTGGCATTTGGACAAGAACAAACTGGGAGGAGGGTAGAGAGAATAGTGCAACAATGAATGAGTGGAAGCCCAAAATCTCTGTAAATGTTTATGAAAATTAATAAAATATAATTATAGGAAAAAAAAGAAAAAACAAAAACAAGAAAAAAAAGAACAGCAAAACACAGGGAAAAAAAATTTATGTGAGTTTATTTATTAAAATTTTTCTGTTAATATTAATTACATATATGAATATCTTCCCATGTATGTAATAACTTTCCTTAAACTAATTTCAAGGACCAAAAATACTACAATAACAGATCCAAAATACATTAGAACAGTAATGAAAAACTAAAATATAAAAATTACACAACGTATGTTATCATTATATATGTGTTTGGAAATGGTTTCTTAAATATGGCTCAGAAAGCACAGACAACATAATGAAATATCATGAGTTAGACTCCTATAAGTTAAAATCCTTTGTGTATTAAAGATATTATTATACAGTGAAAAGATAACCTAGAGAATGTTGTTATGTGCCATCAAGTTGACTGCGACTCATAGTGACCCTCAGTACAACAGCTCTGAAGCCTGCCCTGTCCTGAGCCAGGCTCACTGACTCCGACACACACCGTCCTTTGTCCTTGTTACTGTATCAATCCATCTCATCGTCCTTTCCTGAGCTGTCCCTCCACCCTTCTAAGCATGATGTCCTTCTCCAAAGACTGGTTCCTCCTGGCTGCGTGCCGAAAGTGTGTGAGAGAGAGCTTCAAAATCCTAGTCTCCAAGAAGAAACTTGGTTTCACCCTCTCCAAGACAGACCTATTTGTTTTCTTGGTGGTCCATGGTATGTTCAAAACTTTTTTCAGCACCACAATTCAAAGGCATCAATTCTTCTGTAATCCTTAGTCATTGTCTAGCTCTCTGATGCATAGCATGTGTTTGCAAAGACCATGGCCTGGATCAGACCCACCTTAGTCTCTAAAGTGACACAGTTGCTTCTTAGTACTCTGGAGAGATCCCTGACAGTAGATTTTACCAGTGCCATTCATCTTTTGGTTTCCTGAGTGCTGGTGCCAAAGGTGTTGAGAGTGGAGCCAAGCAAGCATGGGGGTGGGGAGGGGGCTAATTTTGCAAAGCGTGTATCTGATCAAAGGAGCTCTGGTAGTGCAGTGGTTAAACTCCATTTTTAATCTAAAGATTGACCATTTGAGTCCACCAGCTGCTCTGCAATAGGAAGATATGTCTCCTTCCAGGAATATTACAGCCTTAGAAACCCTATGGGATGGGTCTAGTCTGTCCTGTAATGTTGATTCTAGTCAGATAATTCAGTGAGGAAAGGTACATATCTGATAGGGGTCTAATATGCAGACTATGCAAAGAACTCCTACCACTCAACAACATAGCTCTCAAAAACAAAGTAAAAGACAGCATGGAACTGTCTGTACACTTTAAATGGACAGATGATATACACTGTTATTTTTTAAAAAGGAATGAGATGCGAATGCATGCTATGGCCAGGATGAACCTTGACAACTTTACACTAAATGAAAGAAAGCAAAACCACCAGTGCTGCCAAATCTATTCAGATGCCTGACAACTCTCCTTCAGGTTTCCATGTCAGTTGGAACCAGCTCAAATCTTAACAAACTGCCTCCAAACTGTTAACCTTTAGGTTAGTAGCCAAGCATGTAGTGCTACGACACCAGGACTCCCTAAATGAAATCAATTAGACTAAAGGCTACATATTCCATTTATATTTAATATCTTCTTCTTGTTGTGACCATAGAGTCGGAATCAACCCACAGCTGACCCTCCGGTGGGTGTTCAGAAGCAGTTAATTACTTGGGAGGAGATTGCCCATCCTTCTCCCATGGAGAAGCTGATGGCCTTGAACCACCTACCACCGAGCTTCTTGCCATTTGGCCACCAGAGCTAATATCTAGAATAGACAAATCCAAAAAGACAGAAAAGAGATTAGAGGTTGCCAGGGATAGGTAGATATGAGAGATCTGGGTGGATATTAAGGTGATAGAAATGTTCTGGAATGAGACAGTGGCTGTGGTTGTATGTTGTTGTTGTTGTTGCTATTAGGTGTCATTGAGTGGGCTATGACTCAGAGAGACCCTGTGAACACTGGATCTGAACCATGTCCCATCCTGTGCCATCCTCATCCTTGATATACCTGAGCCCATTGTTACAGTCACTGTGTCAGTTCACCATGTTGAGGGTCTTCCTCTCCTTCACGACTCTCCCCCTTTCCAAGAATGATGTCTTTTTTTCCCATAATATCACATCCAAAGTATGTGAGACCATGTGTCACCATCCTTGCCATTTAAGAAACACTTTAGTTGGGCTTCCTCCAAAACATGTTTGTTTGTTCTCTTGACAGTCCATGGGATATTCAGTACTTTTCTCCAACACCATAACTCAAAGGCACTGATCCTTTTCTGCCTTTTCTTTTTTGTATGCAGCTTACAAATGTATAACAAGTAATTGAAAAGACCATGGCTTGAATCAAGTACATCTTGTTTGTTAAGTGCCGTCAAGTTGCAGGCGACTCATAGCGATCCTATGAAGGAGAGTCCTCGACACTTGGGTGCCTTTCATCCTCTCTCCAGGTTCACAGGGTTTCCAGAGGCAAGCTATTATGGAAGTGGATGCCACTCCTCCTTCCAAAGTACATCTTAGTCTTTAAAATAACATCATTGCTTCTCAACACCTTGGCAAGGTCCTTGGCAGCAGATTTACCTACTACAATTGTGAATATTCAAAAAGCACAGGTGTTACCTTAACTCACCTTAAAATGATGAATTGTGTTATGTAAAATTTTACCCATTTATTATTATTATTATTGTTATTACTAATTTTAATGAAAATTTACAGATATTTTGGATTTCCATTCATTCATTGTAGTTTATCCATTTCTTTTTAAAAAAGAGTGATTTACACATCAACACACACACACACACTTCATGACAGCATCTAGAACATGATTATTGCTTAGTAAGGTTTAGTTATCATGGAGTAGTCAAGAAACTGTGTCCCACTCTTCAGAAACTGAACCACCACCAAAAGGGCCTATAATGAGAAGGATGGGCAACCTCCTCTCGTGTGATTAACTGCCCGTGAAAACCTACCAGAGTGTCAGCTATGTGTCGGTTCTGACTCAACGGCACACAGCAACAACAATAACATGGGTCATAGTACATAGGATTCATATGTACCATTTTTGTAACCACCATGAGTCTGTAATTATTTAAAAATAAAAAGGTTAAAAGTAAGGACAAAGGACACCTGGAAATGTGGCTGTCCCATACTGTCCCTCCTCATGCCCAACACTCAGACTGACCACTATCTTGGAGCCCTGGGGCTCACCAGGTGGGGCATCCTGACTGGTCCACCCAACTAAGGCTGGCATCTTCCCTAGTATGGTATCCGTGGGAGAGAGATATTCTGATCTCCTGGAAAAAGTAGCTCAGGGCTGGGCAGACACTTCCAAAAGATGTTCGACAGCACCCTGAGTTTGGGGACTGAAGCTGGTGGTTGGGGGACCAAAGGTGAGATATTGTCATTCCGTAAACTCTCATTAGCTCTGGGATTGGCTCGCTTTGCCCTCCAAGGCCTCCTCTGTCTCTGTGGAGTGGGCAGCAGGCCAAAGTCCCAGGGTGAGGGAGTTCCTACCAGGGCTTCATGGGCAGGAAGTTAATTCAGTAGGAAATAGCCGAGGAATATAAAACCTGAAGTAACACAGAAGACATCCGATGGGTGCTGCCCCTTCCCCAGGAGAGGCACTGGAGGGCCCTAGAAACCGACCCATCTTGCTTGGTGGCCTAAGGCTGCCCAGACTCACCACAGTCAGAATGGTCTGTCCATGATCTGGAGCGTGGCCAAGAACCAGCTCAAAGTCTAGTAGTTTCTCTTTCACTTTTACTTTCCCAGAAATGACACAGGAACCAGAAAGAAAACAGACTTTCTCTCCCTTACTCTTGGTGCTAATTTGCATTGGTCACTGCTGGGCACCAGTCCTTGCTGGCACTGCATGGTAGAAGTCCTGCCTGTGAGAACTACAGCTTATTATCTAACCCAAGCATCAAGATGGATGGACTGGAGCCCTCGGAGTCGCTGGATGAGGAACTATATTCAAGGCAACTGTAAGACTAGGGGAGGAAATAGGTTGGTTTGCTGACATCTAATTTCCATCCTCCTGCCCTCCCATTCACCAGCTCTCCATCCACAGGTATGTCTTGGGCTCGATGGCCATGCACAAGATTCGGGGAGCCAAGGTCCTGCTGACAGGTCTTCGGGGTCTCGGGGCTGAGGTGGCTAAGAACCTGGTACTGATGGGTGTAGGCAGCCTCACTCTGCATGATCCTCACCCCACCTGCTGGTCGGACCTGACTGCCCAGGTAAATTCTGGGAGGCTGTGGAAGTGGGAGCAGGACCCCAGGGGCGTCTCCCTGCTCAGGCCTCTCCCTAGTTCTTCCTTTCAGAGGAAGACTTGGAGAGGAGCAGGGCTGAGGCTTCTCAAGAGTCCGTGGCTCAGCTCAATAGATCTGTCCAGGTCTGCGTCCACACGGGTGCCATCACCGAGGACCTGCTGCTTCAATTTCAGGTGCCCCACCACCCCATCCCCACCTATAGGCTGGCCCAGTCCTCTCCTCCAGCCTCCTGCTAATCCTGCCCTCAAGCATCCACCCAGAAAAGCCAGGGAATGACTCTGGCAGTGGCTCTGATAATAGGGTCCCACCCAGGTAGTGGTGCTGACATCCTCAGAGCTGGAGGAGCAATTGAAGGTGGGTAGTCTCTGCCACCAGCATGGAATCTGCTTCGTGATGGCAGACACCCGAGGCCTAGTGGGGTGAGTGAGATTATCTACCCAGCTTGCACGTCAAAGCCAACAAACCAGTCTCAAAGTTTCCCAGCTCCAGGTGTGTGCCAGTCCCCCCTCCCAGTCCCTCCTGATTCTGGGCTCCAGATTTATTCCTCTGTGTTCTCCGCTCCAGCCTCTAAACCTGCTCCATCTGTCGCTTCCCACTCTAGCCTCCAAGCCTCACTCAGCATCCCCCCTTCCCTATGGTGGCCCTCTAGGCCCTCCCTAGTGTAACCTATCCTTAACCACAGTAGCTGAGACACCTCAGAGCCCCTTTCTGCCCCAACCTAGGCAGTTGTTCTGTGACTTTGGTGAAGACTTCACTGTGCTGGACCCCACAGACACAGAGCCTTCAGTAGTCGCCATCAGGCACATCTCCCAGGTGGGTGCAGAGGTGTGAGAACTACCTGATGTCAGGGAGGGGCTGCTGGTATCTGGGAAAATTAGGTGCAGACCCCTCTGAGACAAGGTATCCCCTCCTCAGAGCTCTCCTGGTATTGTCACACTGAGAGAGGCTGATGTCCACAACTTCCAAGATGGGGACTTGGTGACTTTCTCAGGCATTGAAGGCATGGTTGAGCTCAATGGCCGTACTCAGCCCATCCGAGTACAAGGTAAGCCAGTCCTAGGCTTAGCAGTGATTCTGACCAGGCTGATAACATGGTGTCCACGGAGAATGGACACAGCCTAGTTCTTAGGGATAGGTTTCCCCCTCAGTCTTCCTTGGCAGAGCAAGGTCAGAGATACAAATGCAAGATAGGACAGAGCAGAGGGAATGACGGACGGTCAGGGGCCGTACTGACTAAGCTGGATACACTTCAGGAGATAGAACCTTGGAGATTGAGGACACAACAAATTTTTCCCGTTACCTTCGTGGTGGAGCTGTGACCGAAGTCAAGAAACCCGAAACTGTGAATCATGTAAGTGAAAATGCACCTGAGAAGGGGAAGCTTGCCTCTCAGGACCTGTAATCATCCAAGATTGACCCTGAACTGAGCGTCTCCTACAGGAACCTCTGACTGCAGCCCTGCTCCAGCCCCGCATAGCCAAGGGCCCCAATGAAGCCCACCGTGCCCACTGCCTGCACCAGGCTTTTCGTGCTCTGCACCAGTTCCAGGCCCACAATGGCCATCCACCCAGGCCTTGGCATCCTGTAAGTGACACCATCACCTCTCACCCCACTCACCCCTACTTTTGTCTATTGGAGTCTTACCTGCCAGGAAGCAACAGTGATCATACTACAGATCTAAACTTGAATCTTAGAAGGAGTTTTGTTGTTGTTATGTGCCGTCGAGTTCTGTCCTGAGCTAATCTCGCTGTCCCTGATACATCTACCCTCATTTAACCCAGTTATTGTGTGAAATGGGTTTTTTTAAATTTTTTAATTAAAACTTCTTTTTAATTTTATTATTTTTTGTGTGTGTGCCGTCAAATCGGATCTGACTGGTCCAGGAGGAGATTGCCCCTCCTTCTCCAGCAAAACATCTGGTGGATTTGAACTGTGTACCTCTGGGGTTGCAGGGCAGCTTCTTGCCACTAGGCCACCAGAGATCCTCTATATGATGGAGTTTTACCACTTATAAAAAGATAATCAACGTTGTGTCGAGTCCAGGACTCTTAACCATTAATGCAGCAGGCCTTCAGTGCGTTTGTCGGTGGGCCAGACCCTCCTACTCAGGCGGTGGCGACTGCTGCAGCTGCTGCTGCTGCTGCTGCTGCTGCTTTGGAACAGGATGAATGAGGAAGGGTGGCACGCAGGGTAAGGTGGCTGTGCCCATGGTATTCCATCCTATAGGGAGATGCAGAGGCTGTAGTGAACCTGGCCCAGGCCCTGGAACCACTGCAGGGAATACAAGAAGAACCACTGGATGAGGCCTTGGTGCGGGCAGTAGCTCTCTGTAGTGCTGGTGACCTGAGCCCCATGGCGTCCATGCTGGGTGCAATGGCTGCCCAGGAGGTGCTGAAGGTGAGCTGCGCCATGGGCAGAGAGAAACTGAGGAGGGCAGCGAGGTAGATGTAAGCGCCAGACTGGGAAGCACCACCAGAGGGCGCCAAGCACCAGCTAGAGGCTCCAGAGGAGGCTTCACTAGCAGGCAGGGATCTGAAGGAGGGAGGAGGTGCCTGTGTTCTCACCTTTTCAGTGTCACCCACAGGCAATCTCCGGGAAGTTCACACCTCTGGACCAGTGGCTGTATTTTGATGCCCTCGATTGCCTTCCAGAAGATGGGAAGCTCCTTACTGTCGAAGATTGTGCTCCAGTAAGAAATTTCCATGGAGGTTCTTACCCTGCCTCAAGCCAGATCCGGGGCAGAGATAGGTGGGACAGACCTTCATCGTGAGATGTCACTGACCCTGTCTATGCACCCCCTACCCCACTCAGAGAGGCTGTCGCTACGATGGGCAAATTGCAGTATTTGGAGCTGATTTTCAGAAGAAGCTAAGCTGTCAGCACTACCTCCTGGTGAATGTGGGGGCCAGGGTGGGAATGTCAATCTGGGGGGTTACTCCAGACCCTCAAGGTTAAGGCTTCACCCTCTGGCAGGTGGGTGCAGGTGCAATTGGCTGCGAGCTGCTCAAAAGCTTTGCCCTGATGGGTCTGGGGGCCAACGGCAGTGGGAAAATCACTGTCGCAGACATGGACTTCATAGAACGCTCCAACCTCAGCCGTCAGTTCCTCTTCCGGCCACAGGACATTGGTGTGAGTGCCAGGCCGTCCCCACACTTGTGTCTGATTGTTCCACAGTGCCCCCCTATAAATGCTCTCCTGCCTCCTCTCCAGAGTCCCAAGGCAGTGGTAGCTGCAGAGGCTGCCAATCGCCTCAACAGAGGCCTACAGGTGAGCCCGCACACCTCCCCACTGGACCCCACCACGGAGAAGATCTACGGGGACAGCTTCTTCTCTCGCCTGGATGGTGTGGCTGCCGCCCTCGACAACTTCCAGGCCAGTGAGTGCTCAAACTTGGAACTTGGCTCCTCACCTGAGACTGTGACACTCTAGGGCTCCCTCTGACACTCTCTATCTGACCTGCCAGGAAGCTATGTGGCTGCTCGCTGCACCCACTACCTGAAGCCGTTGCTGGAATCAGGCACGCTGGGTACCTGGGGCAGTGCTGCGGTGTTTGTTCCCCACGTAACCGAGACCTACAAAGGCCCCAAAGGCCCCAGCTCGGATGCAGCTTCCAAGGATGCCAACCCCATCTGTACGGTGCGGTTCTTCCCCAGTACAGTTGAGCACACTTTGGAGGTAGGAAGCTCTGGGGAGAACCACCCCACCTGGCCTAACCCTCTGCTTCAAGCCTTTCCTCTGCATGACACCTCACTGGTCTTCTCTTCATAGTGGGCCCGGGATGAGTTTGAGGGGATCTTCCGACTGTCTGCCGAGGCTATCAATCACTATCAACAGTAAGACTACCAGAAAAAGTACGGGTGTGTGTGTGTGTGTGCATGGCCCCTAGGACTATAGAGTTTGCAGGATTCAGTCTCAGATTTCTCTCTCCGCAGGGCACCCAATTCCCTGACAGACATGGATGCACCACAGGTCCTCTCCCTGCTGCAGCCTTTGCTGGGCATCCTTAGGGCATGTCCACAGACTTGGCAGGACTGTGTGAAGTGGGCACGTGGCCACTGGCAGCTTTGCTTCCATGACAACATCACACAGCTCTTGAGGACCTTTCCGCAAGAGAAGGTGGATAGTGGATGGTTGTTGGGCTCCAGGCTCGGGGGAATCAAGAAGGAGACCAGTCTGAGGCCAACAACCCTCATTTCATTAGATGCTTGAGGACGGAACTCTCTTCTGGTCGGGTCCGAAGCAGTGCCCTCAGCCCTTGGAATTTGATGCCAACCAAGTGAGTGGGAGCCCCTGGGGAGCCCCAAGGCAAGGATGTGGCCCTGAAGAAGAGAAGTGGGGACATCTGCACTCTACAAAGGGAAACATGTTTGTGTCACATCCCATCCACACAGGAAGCAGAAACAGACACTCAGGCCCACAAATGGGAAAGGTGGATTGTCAGCAAAAGAGAGAAAGACCCTCAACAAGATGAATTGGCACAGTGATGGGCAGCAATGGGTTTGGCTATGTCAGCAATGATAAGGGTCATTCAGGACAGGACAGGGTTCAGATCTGCTGTCCATAGTGTTGTTTGAGCCCTACCCAAAGGCTCACAACAACAACCTCTCCCTGATGCTCCCCTCTCTAACTGCTCGCTTGAGTCCATGCATCTGCCTCTACTCTGCAGGACATGCACCTCTTATATGTGCTAGCAGCGGCCAACCTGTACGCCCAGATGCATGGGTTACCTGGCTCAAGGGATCAGAGTGCACTCAGGGACCTTCTGACATTGCTGCCACTGCCTGAGCCCCAGCACCTGGCCCCTATCTTCACCAGTGACCTGGAGCTGGCTCAAGCTTCTACCAAGTTTGGTGAGGCTCCTGGCCCTGCCCTTTATACTGCCACCTAAAGGTCTTCCCCTGCCATCAGACTGTGAGATAGGTGAGGCCTGGGGATGCTGCTGCCATCTCACTGCTACTCAAGCCCTCTGACCTAAAGTCTCTCTAAGATTGGGTCTCTTCTCTCTGGCCCTGATGCAGGCCCTTTCCCTGATGTACCCTCAGCACCCTCAGCTCTTTTGACAGATTTTTCAGCAACTAAAAATCAACCCACCAGCCCCTGGAGAACCCCTGCTGTGGCTCTACAGTGAAGATAAGTCATAGGCACATATATAGCTGAGGACTGGGGCTGCCAGATAGGTTATGGCATCAATCAAGGATGCTCTCTGGAAGCAGTTAGTGATAAGCTTGGCAGACACCAAGAATTGGAGAAAGGTTACAGGAATGAGAGCTGAGATGGGGGCTCAGGACTATCCCAACGCCCTCCTCCCTTGGCAGGCCTTGAGCAGGTGGAAGAACTACGCAAATCCCTCGAAGTCTGGAACACAGGCCTTCCCCTGCAGCCACTGATATTTGAAAAGGTAGGAACCTAAGCAGAGGTGAGAGGCTGGGCGAGGAAGTCATAGGTAGAGGAAATCAAAAGCTTTGAGGACAGTTTTGGAGACTGTTGGCTTGTTGCCACCCAGGAAGCAGCTTATCCTCCCCAAGCCTCTGTCCCTTTATCTGATAAATGGAGAAGTTGGGCACACCATACCAAAGATTGGCGTGAAGACCTGGCCCTGATGACAGACAGCTTGCTGTCTCAGTGAATACCTTTTGTGATTTGGGCCTCACAGGATGATGACAACAACTTTCATGTGGACTTTGTGACGGCAGCAGCTAGCTTACGAGCTCAGAACTATGGGATACCGCCAGCCAACCGTGCTCAGGTACCCCTATCATCTGCAGCTCTGAGAATAGGAGTCAAACTCTAGCTTCACACCTTAAGCCTGAACTATCTCCTGTCCCCGGCAGAGCAAGCAGATTGTGGGACAGATTATCCCAGCCATTGCCACCACCACAGCAGCTGTAGCAGGCCTGGTGGGTCTGGAGCTGTATAAGGTGGTGGGTGGACCAAGGCTCCTTGGCGCTTTTCGCCACAGCTATCTGCACTTGGCTGAAAACAGCCTCTACCGCTGGGTTCCTGCTGCCCCAGCCAGCCAGAAGGTGAGTCTTTGATTCCCCTATCCCTCCAGGCCTGGGTTTTCCCTCCTCCTACCCAGTTAATCAGGCCGTCCTCTGCTGTTCTGACTGGCTGCAGGCTCTCATCCAGGCCTAGACTGTGGGGGAGTCCTTAAGACTCCCTCCAGGGGCCCCCTTCCTGCTGCTCAGCCAGGCTGGGACCTGTCAGACACAGGAAGCAGCCGTCAGCCACCCCCTACCCCCCACCTCCTATAGCCCAGGGTCTGGGGGAGCTGCAGCTTTAACTCATTAGTAGAGCCAGACATCCCCCTATAACCCCCCTCCTTCTCAGAAGTGCCTCTGAGGGGGAAGTAGTGGGAGAGGGAGACTCGGGCCCCAGTGTCAGACAGCTCTGTCAAGTTTCTCCTTGTATGTTATGAGAGCCCTGGCCACCCCTTCAAGCCTTGTGGGGGCTGTAGCCCTCTAGGGATGTAGGTGTTTGTGTCACAGATATGAGTGCACTGGGGTCTGGGCATCCCTGGCCTTGCCTGGGTATGTGGGCCTGCTGGGAGCAGACTTGCACATCTGTGTGCCAGATGCGCGTGCAGAGTTCTTCCTCAACGTGGGCGTGCACGTGAGCACACATACAGATGTTCTTTATTTGCAAGAATAGTCTTTCAAGTGCAGGGCTATGAATGCTGGTCCATGGACCCCTGCTCTGGAGTAGCTGACATTTCCATGGGCCATGGGAGAGGGAGTGAAGGAACTCCCTCATTAGGACAAAGAGCAGAGGTCATAGAAAGGCACTGGGCTCTTGCTGAGCAGCCAGGGGTCCCTCAAGGCACAGTGCACAGAGCTCCTTTGTGAGGGCCTCCCCTGCCTCTAGTCAGCACACAAACTGTCTTTGTCCTTGATGGAGGGGGTAGGGAGGTGTCCCCCATCTTGCCTTGGGCCTTATCTCAGCTTAAAGCCAGTGTAAGTCATTTCTGGGGTGCTGGCAGGGACCTTCGATCCTAATCCCTAGCTATCTACCACCCTTCTACCTTTAGCTCCAGGGACCAGAACACCAAAACTCCTGGAATAGGGAGCAGAAAAGGACAGGAAGAAAAAGCCTGTATGGACTGTGTCCTTACTGGGGGCTCTAAGCTAGTGGAGCCCCAGTAGTCACTGTGCCCTGCATGTGTGCCTGTGACAGTCCAAGGCCCTGCCAGGGCATGAAGAGGGGACAGGATATGCCCCCCAGCTACAAGCAGCCTTATCAGAGACTACAATGCCTTAACCCAGCTTCCTCAGGAAGCACCTCCACAACACACACGCACACACATGCGCACTCACACACACTCGCACACACAACACTGGCCTGTGTGATGGATCGCTTATTTCCCTTAGCGGCCCCAGAGCCCCATTTCCTGTGCTGGCCTCAGCACAGTGCGGGTAGAGGGGGAGCTAAGACGACTCTGGGCCCAGAGCCCACCTTCCACCCCCACCCCCTGGCTCCTGCTTCCTGCTTCCCAACCAGTCCAGTTCCTCCCCTAGGAAAGGAGCCATTGGCTGCTAGTAACTGGAGTGGGGGTGAGGGGGGCTGTGCGAAGTCTCTCACTCCTTCCCACCGCTCCCAGTTCTGTGACCAGACGTGGACCTGCTGGGACCGCCTGAAGGTGCCAGCTGGGCAGCCCGAGAGGACTCTGGAGTCGCTGCTGACCCATCTCCAGGTGTGTCCCATCCCTGCCTGTCCTTGGGCTAGCCAGACATGGCCTAGCCCAGCTGGCACTTGACGCCTCTCTCTTCTAGGAGCATCATGGGCTGCAGGTGACAATGCTCTTGTACGGCCCAGCTGAGCTCTACTCAAAGCGATGGCTCCCTGACAAGCAGGCCCAGCACCTGCACCTCAAGTGAGTCTGTGCCTGGCTTGAGGCCCTCAAGCCATCCCTGTAGGTGGGAGGTGGGGGACACGAGGCCTTTCCTCCTGTCCCCATTCTGGGCCCCTCACACCTTCCTGAAACTTTTGCCAAATGGAGCCAGCAAATGGGCTGGGGGCTGGGCAAGGAGCAAGCTGCCTGCTTCGCCAGCCCCACCAGCTCCCCACATCATATACAACAGCCCCCTTTCACAGCTCGCTCTCAGGGGACCTGCGGCTTCCTGCCTCCTGCCCGCCCCACCACCAGCCACTCCTAAAATAGTTTCAGATGTTTCCTGTCTTGAGCTGCTCCAGCTCCTGGCTTGGGCTCCTGATGGCCCGCCAGAAACCTCTAGACCACGCCAGGTCACTTGCTCTCTCTGCCTGCCATTGTTACTTACCTTTTCTCCTCTACTTTTGCCCCTCCCCACCAGGGTGACGGAAGTGGTAAGGCTGGTGACAGGCCAGGTGCCTGAGCCTGGGCAGCAGGTGCTGGTGCTAGAGCTGAGTTGTGAGGGCGAGGAGGATGACACTGCTTTCCCGCCCCTGCACTACGAGCTGTGACAAGGCAGCAGCCCTGACACCTGGCTTTACTGAGCCCACACCTGCAACCCGAACCCACAGCAATCATTCAATAAATGCTTATTAAAGGTGTAAGTGGAGGGGCTGGACGTTGGAACGTGTGGAACATGTTTCCCCAGGAGGGAAAAGTTCTCTAAATTCTTTGACTGGGCTGTGTGCCTCACTGAGGCTGAGGCTGCTTCCTGGAGCCTCAGGGACATGGAGCCAGAGCAGTCCAGAGAAAGGCCTTTATTGTCCCCAGCTGGGGGGCAGGGTCAGAGGTAGCTGATGACATCACTGCAGATGATGGGCTGGCGACTGCGACAGTTCATGAGGGCAGCAAAGCGGGAGACATCAGTAGGCAGCTCGGGCTCTGGGCGAGGTGGGCACGACAGCCGCTTGCTGGCCATGGCTGCCCTCCGGGCCCCTGCCAGCCGGCGCCGCAACTGCTCAGAGAGGCCCAGAAGAAACTGTGGGGGCCGAGTGCGCACTCGGGACCCATCCTCGCCACTCCCCTCACTTGTTGCCTCGGGCAGTTCCATCCAATTGTGCACCAGGTCAGCAAAGCAGTTGTCCCCCAGCACCAGTGGCTGGCGACTTCGACCCCTGCTCAGCAGAGCTGTTGTCCAGTCCTCGGCATCCAGTCCCTGCCAGTGCTCCAGGCAAGCGTCTGGAGTAGATTTGGGCCGTGGCCGGTGGGCAGGCGGTGCACTGGCTAAAGAGGTCCTGCTAGGCAAAGGGAGGCCATTGGCTGAAAGGCGCTGGCTACTATGAGGGCGCCGTGCTGGAGGTGCTGGGCGCTGGACCATGGGCAGCTCTTCCTCTCGCCATGTGCTCCCTGACACCTCTGAGAAGCCGGAGTCCCAGTCCAGGGTGTGCTCCCTGGGGCTCCCCAAGGCTACACCCTTGTCCCCTGTCATCAGGACTTCATCCTCATCCTCCTCTTCCACGCAGCAGGCCGAGTCCTCTTCTGAGGCATCTGAGGCCCTGAGTCGGTGACGGGGCTGCACACTTGAGCCAGGTTTGGCGGGTGGCCGCAGGGAACCAGGCATCTGAGGTGAGCCTGTGTCCCGGCCACATAGCTGCAGAGGAAGAGAAGGCATAAGTGGGAGCGATGGTGTGTACCACTCCTGCCTGCCTGTCCAGGGGCCAAGGAGGGCTAGAACCTCTGCTGGTCTGGATGGTGAGGTGACTTAGGGGCACAAGGCCAGTGTTGGGGCGCTGGCACATGAAGCTCTGTGTCTCCCGTCTGCCAACCTGGTGGCAGTCCGGCAGGCTGCAGCATGCAGGGCCAGGCAAGTCAGCACCCGCTGCTCAGGAGGGCGGGCAAGGGTGCGGGCCTGCACGGGGAAGTAGGGCCTGCCCACGGCCAGGGGGGCATCCGGTACCTCTGGGGGGACTCAACTCTCCCAAGATTGCAGCTTCTTTCAGAGAAGGATACAGTATTTGCCAAAGGAGTGGAAGAAGGAGGGTAAGGCAAGTTCACAACAGTGCTAGCGCCCGTTCACTCGTTTGCCACCTTCTGCCCGACCCCAAAAGAAGTTTCTTCTCCCCCCGCCCCCCCCCATCACTAACTCCTGCTGTCCAGGCAGCAAGGCCAGCTGGGCGGCTGTTACCTGATGCCCAGAGCGGCTCCCAACAGTCCGAAACCTGACGCGGGCCATCTGGGCCATCTGCGCCGCCCCGCCTCCAGCCCTCCTTGGATGGGCACTCGGGACAGCGCCCATCCGTACCCATTCGGGACAGGCAGCCTTCGCGCACACCCGTCCCCACCAGCTCGAGCCTCACCAGTTCCCAGCGGAGCTGGCCCAGGAAGCTGTCAAGGCGAGCGCTGTGCATGCCCGCGCTGCAGCCTCCGCCGCGCTTTGCGGGTCCTCCTCGAACCGCTGTGGCCACTCGGCCGAGACGGGCCAGGCGGGCCGGCCAGCGGGGCCCTCGCCCTCCGGCTGCTTCGCGGCTCCTCGCTCTCCGTAGCTCCCGCCGCCACCGCCGCCCCAACATCTGGCAGCAGCGCCCCGCCCCCGGCGCCGTGGCCAATGGAGGCGGGGCGGGATTAAAGGCACCCCGCCCCTCGGGCCGGCGTGGGCGGTGACCCCCCGCATCTCCTCGTTGCTTGTCCGACCGGGCCCCCGCGGGGCCGCTGTTGAAGCAGAGTGAGGGTCCCCCTCAGGACTCTCCCCCCAGCCGCCTCACCGCCTTAAACAGTTGCGTTAATATTTGTTGTACGACTAGAGCAAGTTTCTTTCTCGCGCTGCCTCAACTTCCCCATGTGCTCAGGGTGGACTTGCGGTCACTTCTTTGAGACCCACCAGTCCCCCCCGCCCCAGACACCCATGTGCAAGCCCAGTGAGGCAGCCCTGGGGGCGTGCAGAGAGATCCATCCTCTCTGGATCTTGACAATCCCTGGAAGTGATGGGAGGGCGACTGGCTCTCGGGGAGTCGGGGAAGGGAGCACGCAGAACCTTGCGTCCTTGCAGGAGAAAATCCTCATGGGCCGAGCTAGACAACGTCGCCCCCTGGTGGTCAGTCACTACTTCAGCCGCTGCTCTGGTCCACCCAGTCTCACGAGGCCCTGCCCTCTGCCGGGCACCGTTGGTACATTGTCAATAAAAGGGTAGGGAATGGAGAAAACGAGGCCGCTCATCTGCCAGGATGGATGGCATTGGTCCCCTTGAGGCTGCTTTGTGATCAAGCACAAGAATACATTTTATCTGGAGACAGATTAACATACCAGCAGACAAAAAAAAACGGGATGACAACCATAGGCCATGTTGGAAAGGGGGTGGGTCTCAGAGAAAAGGTGATGGTATTCACCATGGAATCTAGATTAAGCCACCTGAGTGCAAATCTAACGAGACATTCTAAGTGGAGGGTTCAGTCTGTGTAAGGACCTTGAGGCAGGAATGGAGCTGGACAGGACAGAAACCAGGTCTCTCAGAGTGAAGGTGGATCCAGATAGAAGGGAAGAGATTAGCAAAAGGGAGAGCACCCTTAGAGAGGAATGTGGGGTTTTTTTCCAGGTGTGATGGGCAAACACTGGGGTTCTTTGAAAAAGAAGTGACCTGGCTTGGTTCCTGCTTAAAGATTTCGGCTGCTGCAAGAGAACTAAGCAAGTGCCCAGAAGGGGTCCTTTGAAAGTGTTTTGGACCTAAAATTAAGTCTTGCGGATGCATGGATATAGACAGAAAATTAAAGACATCGAACATGACTAGCCTGAATAAAAGCTGGAGGGATGAAGTTGCCAAGAGAGAAGAATGGGTAGTGACAAGAAAATTAAATGGTCATTTGTGGATTTGAGATGCCTAGTAGACATCTGGTGGCCTAGTGGTAAGAAGCTGCGCTGCAATCCCAAAGGCATGAGGTTCAAATCCACCAGCTGCTCCACAGAGGATGAGTAATCTCCCGTGCAATAAACTGAAAACCCACTGGAGGGTCAGTTCTGACTCAACAGTACAAAACAAAAACAGTAGACATCTAAGAAAAAAGGGAGGGTGTGGGCTGTTGGGTAGCTGGCTGGAGTTTGGAAGAGAGGCCGGCACTGGACAGATCTTGAAGGGAAAGTAAATGAATGTTACTTTCAGCTGATGATCCTCAATGAAATGGGAGGAGATGAATGTAGATGGAAGAGCACAGCAGTCAGGACTGAATCTTGGAACATTAGGAGGTCTGGGAGATGAAGGACCAGCAAAGCTGTTGGAGTAGGAGTGTCCAGGAAGGTGAGAAGAAACCGCACAGAATGTGAGATTTGGAATCCATGTAAGTGTCAAATTGACCTGCGGAGTCACAAAAAAATCCCAAGAAATGAAAATAATCCATTGGATTCAGCAGCTGCAAGTCACTGAGGACCCTGATCAGGGAAGTACTGTGGAAGGTGGGCAAACCTGACTGTAGTGGATAGAGGAGGAAGTGAGAGGTGAGGGACTGGAGAGTGTAAGTGTAGCCACTTTAAAAAAAAATCGACATACAACATAAATGCAGTAAATGGTCAATCTCAAAGTACAAAGAGGAGTGGTGGTGCAGTGGTTAAGCACTTGACTGTTAACAGTAAGGTCTGTGGTTTAAAACCACCAGCCACATCTTGTGAAAAAGATGTGGCGGCCTGATTTCATAAAGATTATAGCACTGGAGGCCCTGTGGGACAGTTCCATCCTGTCCTATAAGGTCGCTATTCATCAAGATTGACTCCATGGCAATGGCTTTAACTTTGATGTTCTAAAGCAGAGCTCAATAAGTGTTGAAGTCTGTAGACACCTGTGCACTGGCCACCCAGATAAAGATACAGAATATCCCCAGCCCTCCAGAAAGCCACCTTGTAACCTTTCCAGCCGTTCATCCCAGAAATAACCACGGTTGATTTCTAGCTCAAGTATTCCTTTTGCCTTTTGAAAGTAGGCAACTTTTCCGAGGCTGTCCTGATCATGGTGGACTTTATGGACAGATTCTGTTCTAACAAGTATAGAAAGTGTTAGGTTAGATCAGTGGACTTAAAGAAGAAATCAGAGAGAACGAGAGAAAGCTTAATGCAGCTTTATTAAAGGGGGGAAAGGGGAACTCCCAGGTGAACAGAAAGGAGGCAGCTAGAGTTCTGTGTGTGGGGTAACAGATCCTGAGCCAGATTTTCCTGGGTGCTGTGCTCACTCTGTCTCCCAGTCTGAGTGATCAGAATTTCCCTAAGCCTCAGTTTCTCCATCTGACGCTTTACTCTCACCCTTTCATGTCCATTTAGAGTCATAGTAATGTATAGGTTGAGGACAGTGAGATTGTCTAAATCTAAATTTCCCAGGGATCTGGTCACCAGGGATGGGTGGGACTGGAATCTGGGCAGCCCAGGAGTCCCGCCTGCCACTTGTATCTGAGCAACTGACCTGGTAACAAGGTGAGCCTGACAAACACACTTAGCCTTCTGCAGGTGCCTCTGCTGTATCCTCTCGCCACCATGGTGCTGTTCAGATCACTAGCACTCCTTCTTGCTCTGAGTGTTTCTGGTGAGGAGTTTGGTGGGTGGGGGAGCCCCTGTTTCACCCCCCAACTTCAAAGTAGCATTCTGGCCCTTCTTGGATAAGCAATTGTGGAGGACAGGGGTTAGGAGAGAGCCAGGAAAGGGAGAAGGTATGAACCTCTGACACTCATTTCACATCTTGGTTGCTTTCTCAACCAAGTTCGTGTAGTGAGGTGATCCACATTTGGGTGTGAGAGACACAGAGGGCCTTGGGTACTTGGTCCTAAGATGTAGCTGGGCCTTGTATTGGGAGGGCAAGGTTATGCTCATGCGTGTGGTTTGCTGAGCTTCAAGTGAGCCTCCAGCCTGAGTTACCTGCCCCTTGCAGACCTCCACAGCCTCCCCTGGTTCATTAATATCTCTGAGAGCGAGGGCCCCGGTACTGTCCTCAAGTACTTCTCCTTCAACTGTTCTGTCTACACACCCATCCTGGAGTTGCTCTCCGTGGAACCACCTACCACCTTCTTCAACTCACCCAGCCTAACCCGGACACAAGACCCCTTCTATGTGGGCAAGGTATGACCTTGGGCACAACGAGAGACTGTGGGAGCACAGGAAGGACCCAAAATTCCCAAAGTTGAGCATGTCATAGGGAGCCGGAGTGCCTAGGCCCCCCATTCAGCATTGCCCACCCACCATAGGTAACCCTCAGTAGCTCAGTTCGGTTTGACGCTCTAGCGGTGAATCACTACAAACTACAGCTGAGATTCACATGTGGCACATCTGTGACAGAGGGACCACTCTTTTTGGATGTGCAGCGGGACCCCAGTCGTGTCCTCTGTTCTGGCCGATTTGCCAGCCCAGGTGAGAGGGTGAAAGGCTGGAGGTGGGGAGGCATGGTGTGACCAGAGCCTCCTTAACCTCCCCTTTGGTCAGCTGGAGAATTCATTGAGGTGCCAGAAACTGTTGAACCTCAAGCCCGGCTATACACTCTGCTGCTCCCAGGCCTGGAACTCCAGCGAGCCCAGGTGAGCCCAGCACATGGGGCACAGAAAAATCAGGAATGGGTGGCGAGACCAAGCCCAGCCCATTTGAAGAGGCACCCCATGGTGCACAGCTGAGCCTCTGAATGATGTTGCTCACCCCCCAGTGACAGGATGTCCCCACAGGGACCTCTCAGGGCTTGTAGTTTTGCAAGTTCTGTGTGTTGAGTTTTCCATGATCATTCTGTATCACTCCAACAACAATAATGATGATGTAAATAAAATAGATAAAAACAACAAAATCATTGGTTTAAAAGCAGACAAGTTATAGATCGAGCCAAGAACCAGGTGGAGAGAAGAGATCCCAGGGGAGGGCAGGGCCAGTGGCTGGAGTGTGGTGCATTGGGTGGGGCAGGTATCTGCCAGGTTCTTAGAGGGTGTTGACAGGGGCACATGAAGCCCTAGGAAAAGCGTGGGGTCTCCAGCATCTCTGTCCCTTCAGATGAGAATCATCAGTACCCAGGACCCACCATACTTCCCCGGATCTTTCTCCATCAGTCATCAGGGTTGGCTGCAGGCTCCAGCCCAGGGCCTCAAAGGCCAGGCTCAAAAGGTGAGCATGACTTGAGACCCGGGACTAGGCTATATTCATGGATTAGCCACGTGATGGGTAGCGACTCCACCTCCAGAAGATCGTTTGTTCTTGGTGTTTTCCACCATGCTATTTCTCCCAGACCTAGCCCACACTCCTCACGTACTGCCGGTGAAAACTCCCTGCCACAGTTGAGCTCTGTGTTGGTATCTGGAATCCAGAAAGAAGTGTCCCTGACTCTTGAAGTTCATAGGTGCTCTAGTAGAAGAGAGGATGTTAGGATAATTGTAGAAAGAGAAAGTTCTGGATAACACAGCCACTCTTGGGTGTCTGTATCGTAATACGAGAATACATGGGCCAAGGAAATGGGGCTCAAAGGTATAGGGGTTAGCTGAGCATTGCAGCTCCTTGGTGGGGAGTGTACACAGACATACAAAAGGACTCACATCTCACATCGTGGCTCCTCTCCCTTTGTGTATATACCTCAGTTATTCCAGCTGCGGATCTCTGTGACCTTTGGACAAAACCGAACCTGCCAGGGGATGCTGACAGTGAAGGTTTTGCCTGTTCCCTCCAATCAGGTCTCCTTCTTGTAAGGCTCCCCTAAACTTAGGACCCATTGTTGTTATTGTGTGCCACAGAGTCAGAACCGAGCCATAGCTGGCCCTCGAAAGGGTTTTCAGAGCCAGTTAATCAGTTAATGGGCAGTGAAGATTGCCCATCTTTCTCCTGTGGTGAGGTTGGTGGCCTCGAACCACATGATTTTGGGATTGCAGCACAGCTCCTTGCCTCTAGGCCACCAGAGGGGGACAGGCAATCCCTGGTGGGATGGGAGCAGGGATGTAGGGGGCCTTAGGAGCAGCCCTAGCTTGCTGCAGCCACCAAGGGCAGGCCAGTAGATTTGGCCAGAAGAGACTGGAGGGGTGGGAAGCAAGTTGCCACTCTTTTGATGCAGGGTGGAGGGCCAGAACGTTACCATCCCTGAGGACCTGGTCCCCGGAAATGAAGTGGTCCAAGTCCAGGCCAAGGGCTCTGATGTGCGCTATGAAATCATCTCCCCGGCGCCCTGCAGGCTCTACTCCATTGGACCTGGTGAGGGGAGAGAGAGGGGCCGGCCAAGACGCGGTATCTCTGTTTTGGTGGTAGTTCAGAAGTGATCAGCAATACTTCCCTGCCCTAGTGGAAAATCAGGGAGGGGTTGGTCCAGGGCCTTGGCTAGAGGTCCGGTTTGCAGGCCTGGCTTGCAAAAGTTAGGAAGTAAGTTAGAAGCTGGTTTTGGCTGAGACTGTAGAATAGCCACGCTCAGCTTTTTTCCTGATTAGGGAAGTGGGCGAGACCCTGGAGGGGCTTGGGAGGTTGGGCCGAGCTAGGGGCCAGACATGAACCCTCCCTCACTTGTTCCAGTCGATGGCCGGGTCCGAGTCACAGCGCCTTTAGAGCTAGCTCAGATGCCAGGTGTGGCAGTCACCACGCTGCAGATAAAGGGTTTTGAGCGTCTCCAGCCCTGGACCAGTGCCAAGCTGGACCTCACCATCCATGTGGTGCCTGTGAACCGCTGGCCCCCGCGCTGCCTCCCAGCACTGCTGGTGTGAGTATCTGGGAGAGAGCCCTACCTGGACTGCTGGGGCAAAAGACACACTCACCATCTCACCTGAGCTTCCACCCCGCCACCCGCCTGGCATTCCTAGGACTCAGGTCCCCGAGACTGCACCTGTGGGCATGGTGCTGAGGACTATCACCTGCACGGACCCTGACTCAGCTGGTGCCACACTTGAATACCAGCTGTGGTTCCACAGCCCTCCTGGCTGGGCTAGCCTCCGCCTTCGCAACAGGACCCTAGAGGTGCCCAGCCCCCAATCCTAGACCCTCATGATGGTGTTCTATGCAGGGCTGGATTGGGCTGGGGTGTCCAGAACTAGATGCCTAGTGAAGGAAAGGGGTCTTGGTGGTGGAGGTGGAAGAGCCAAAAAGAGAGTTCTAGAAGGCTGATCTTCACATGCCCTGGCCTCAGCTCAGAGTGACTTAAAAATTCACTCCCTGGTCATGTCTGAGTTTCACTCTCTGGCTTCCTTGCCCAGGTCAACACCACGCTGGATTGTGACGCTCCTGGAACTTGTGTCCAGCATAAAGCATTCATTCTGGTGTCTGATAATGGTCAACCCCCCATGACTAGTGAGTGACCGCACTAGATTGGCCCTTGTCATCTCAGACAAAGCCCCTCTGCCCAGACATTCAGGTCAAGGCTGTGTTTCCTTGTCCCTTACAGCCCTTGCAGTTCACCAGGACAGGTTCCTCTCTCCTCAGAAACTTAGAATAGGGTTTTTGTGCATATCAAATCCTTAGGGTGAGGCATAGCACCTTTCTCAGACCCCCCCCCCCCGCTATCAAAGAGCTGTTCCATTCACTCCCTTAGCACCTTAAGGGAGGGAGGGCCACTTCAGGCCAGTTTCTTGACTCTCACACATATCCTAGCTGAGGTGCCAGTACTGGTGGTGGTGACACCTGTCAATGAGTTCTCTCCAACCTGTGCCCCACAAACGTTCCGGGTTCGTGAAGATGCAAGACCCCACACATTGCTAGGCTCTGTGGTGGGCATGGACATGGACTACCCACGTGACAGCATTGAATACTACACCTCTGGTGGGCCTAGGCCTGCCACCTTTACTGTGGACCGTCTCAGTGGTACTCCTACCCCAGGGCTGGGATGGAGGGGTGGGGCCCCAGTTGGTTCTTCAGGCTGAGGCCAGAGCCTCTCTTTCCAGGGGAGGTTCGCCTCCTAGGGCCTTTGGACTATGAGCGACAGAGGTTGTACAGACTTCTTATCCAGCTGACCGACCATGGCCAAGACCAAGATCCCACCAGCCACCTCTCAGGCTCCTGTACCATTACTATTGAGGTTGAGGTAATTCAACCTGCAGGCCGTGGGATGAATAAGAAGGATAAGAGTTATAATCACCTTCTGGCACTTTGCTTTTCCACTGTGTGTCTGTTTTCTGGATTGGGTGTGGGAGGGGGTGGGGCCTCATTGTGGAAAACTTTGGAACCTGATGTATGGCATTTAGACTTTGGTTATACTGGGAGAAGATTTAGGGCCTGGTGATGTTTTTGTTGTTTTTTTTTATGGTGAGAAAAATTTATTACATTTAGAATTAGCCCGCTGGACTCAGTTTAGATGATCCCAATTTTGTTGGCAACATCCAAAGCATCATAATCAGGAGCAAGTCGAACATAGGCCTTCTTCTCTCCATCAGGCCTAATCAAAGTGTTGACCTTAGCCATATCAATGTCATAGAGCTTCTTTACAGCTTGTTTAATTTGGTGCTTATTGGCCTTGACATCCACAATGAACACAAGTGTGTTGTTGTCTTCTATCTTCTTCATAGCTGACTCAGTGGTCAGGGGAAATTTGATGAAGGCATAGTGGTCAAGCTTGTTTCTCCTGGGGGCACTCTTCCGGGGGTATTTGGGCTGCCGTCGGAGTCTCAGCGTCTTAGGCCGCCGGAACGTGGGTGACGTGCGGATCTTCTTTTTTTTTTGGCTGTGGACGCCCTTCAGGACTGCCTTCTTGGCCTTCAATGCCTTTGCTTTGGCTTCAGTTTGGGGAGGGGCAGGGGCTTCCTTCTTCACTTTCGGGGCCATCTTCATAGAAAGTGGGCCTGGTGATTTTTAGAGTTGTTGCCGCCACCATAACCTGCCTTCTTTCTTGCAGGATGTGAACGACTTTGCACCTGAGTGTGAGCCCCCATTCCAGGAAATCACCGTCCACACATCTCCAGGCCACAAAGTGGAGGTGACCAAGGTGTCATGCAGGATCCCCCAGGAGCCACAACGCCTGGCCTTTTCCTACAGCATTGTGGGAGGTGAGGGCCCTGAGGGATCACCAGGCGATGGGGATGGGGAAGACTAAGGCCAGGAAACACTCCTCTCTCCTGGCATTCTGCTTGCAGGGAATAGCCAGGGCCGATTCAGCCTGCAAGGTGCCATCCTGGTCCATAGTGACCCTGTGTTGGGTTCCTGGTTACAACAGCCCCACACTTATGAGCTGTTGATCCGTGTGGCTGATGTGGGTCCCTTCACTCCCCACCTCAGCACCACAGCCACTGTCATTGTGCATCTGCTTCCCTGGAGGGCCAGCACAGTGGCCACCAGCACCCATACAGCCACAGTGAGGAGGGTCCACGGGTCCCTGAGGTGTGGGGAGGTATGGGAGGGGGTGCGGGGAGAGAGAACCTTGAAGGATGAGAAGACTCAGATTTTCAGAGAGGGAATGTTAAGTACAAAGAGCCTGAGGATACAGAAAAGTGACTCTTTCGTATGAGGTATGAGGGGGCGTAGCCCACAGAGGGCCTAGGAGGGTGCAAGGTCAGGGTATTTGACAGAGTGGGACTGAGGCTATGACCTCTGTTTCAGATGTCCTCAATGATGACACCCCTGCTTGTGACAGGCACAGAGGCTTTCTGGCAGCCGGACCCCTGGTTTGTGGTGGTGCTGACGGCGACTGGTACCCTTCTGCTCTTGGCTCTCAGCTGGCTCCTCAGAAGGCTTCTCAGGGGGTAGGACTCCCCTCCATGTGCCTCTTGCTTTCCCTCTGTCTGCCTTTTGACCCTGGCAGTGCTTATGTGTTATCCCCAAAGATTTGCTAATGCCTCAGTTGATAGGGCAGATAAACTACGTACTGAAGGGGATTGTCTTTTCTCCAGAGGTATTCAGATTAGAGTCAGCCGAGACACCAGGAGGAGGAAGGTATCTTCATCAGTGCTAAGAGTTCAGCATATGTATCAGTGAAGGCCAGGACTCTAATTCTGTTATGTATTGGATAGCACCCCTATTTTTGGCCCCTAACTCCCATAACAACAACATAGAGAGAGCACAGTTGGCCTAGTGGACAGAAAGTGATGCCACCAAGCCAAAGGTGGGTGACTTTAATTCACAGCCCTCAGGGTTGTTTTAATTGTTTTTGGTCAAACATTCTTCTATGTCATATAATCCTGGTCTGTTCACTTGCTGTACAGAGGTAAGTCGTGGTTGCTGTGAAGTTGAACACTGTGACACTGATGTGTCAAATCGTTACCCATGGCAGACAGTATTTGGTGGAGCTCCCCAATTAAAACAAGCTTGGAAGCAGGAGTGGCATCCATTTCCAAAATAGCTTGCCTCTGGAAACCCTATGAATTCTATGAAATGATTAAAGTTATACAAGTGTTCAGGTCTTTCGTTCATAGGGTTGCTATGAGCCGTCTATGACTTGATAGCATTTAACAACAGCAACAACTCCCACTAGAAAATTTCCCTGCCTCTGTAGACTCAGAGTTCCTTTTGAGCACAGGGCTAAGCCATGGGAAAGGTGAGATAAAAAAGTGGGCATCACATTGACCGTCTCCAATACAAACAAGACATGAATGATGCTGCTTCCTGGAGTCCTCATTGTTTGGTCCCACTTCCTGGTCTTTCAGGGTGGCCCAGTTGTTGCAGACACCAGACAAACCAGCCCAGACTCTGCTGCTGAACAGGTCAGCTGCCTTTATTCACCTCTGCCCCTGGTAGCCCACCTCATAAACTCTGGCCCATTTCCAGAGCCTTATCCTGTGCTCCTGTTTCTACTTTGTCCCAGTATACAGGGAAATAAGAGGTCCACTGAGGGCCTCATGGAGGCCCCAAGGATGGAGACCACTCAGGAACCCAAAAACATCATGAACTTGGTATGATAACCTACAGTTGTAGTAGTGGGCACTGAAGCCACTCCAGAGTACTCTTTGCTCTTGACAAGGGTGCCCCTGACCCATGGGTGGCACCCTAACACCATCAAGACATAGTATAATTAATTACATTTTTTCATTCTTCCTTTTCAGCAGAATTTTGATGGCAGAGCACAAGATCCACGTGAGATACTCTCTTTTCAAACCATTCCCTCCCATATTTTTACCCTAACTCCATGTCTTTTTCCACTACCAGATACTTGCTATTTACCCTTTCTCTGAACAGGGTTTGCTCCCCCTGCTCATGCCCCAGCCAATGCTCCCTACTCTGCTTTTAGCCAGTGTTTATTAAACATTCATGATGCCAGATGACCCAGACCATGTCTGGTCGCTGGCCATGGGGAGGCAGTCCCAAGGGGAGTAGACTTTAGATATTCCAGTGTCATTGGTGAATTATGGCAGAGTAATTTGGCTCTTAAGAGAATTGAAGACGTGTGTGTGTGTGTGTGTGTGTGTGTACCATCAAATTGGATCTGACTGGTACAGGAGGAGATTGTCCCTCCTTCTCCAGCAAAGCATCTGGTGGATTCGAACCGTGCACCTCTGAGATTGCAGTGCAACTTCTTGCCACTAGGCCAACAGAGCTCATCGATGACTATCTTTTAAGTCTAATTTTGGAGGATAAAGGAAGTTTGCTGTGTATTTCAGCCAGGTCTCAGAAGACTTTTTGGGATGAAAAGAAGGAAGGAGACAAGTGGGATCTCAGCAGAAGGGGGTGGGTCACACAAGGGTCCTAAAATACTTTCCACTGCTTTTAACGGAGGAGGCTGGTTCTGCTGAGCCAGAATGGTACTCTCTTTCTCATTCATCTGAATTTAGGTACAGGCAGAGATTACCTGTTCAACATGAGCACAGGAGCCCGGCGCTGGCTTTGAGGCCAACCCATTGGCCAACTGCCTCCCTACCAGTGGAATTTCTTCTTCACGTGCTCCTGAACTGTGTTTTCAAAGTAATTAAATAATAAACAAAATTGCAAAAAGAATAGTCTCAGCTTTATGAGGTACATGTGAGAAGCTCTGCAATTCAGGATCCCTTGTTCTCACCTGTAGAATCCCTACCTTCTGGCTACACTCTAGGGAGTGGTTGTTGTTACGTACCATTGAGTTGGAACTAATTCATAGTTCTCCAGTGAAATGTGAGAGGCAATTAATTTCATGGGAAGAGACTGCCAGTCTTTCTCCCTTGAAACACCTAGTGGATTTGAACCATGTGTCTTTTAGTTAGCAGTGCAGCTTTGGCCTATCAGAGCTTCCTCTAGGGAATATTGTTATGTGCCATTGAGTTGCCTCCGATTCAGCGACCATAGCTCTGAAGCCTGTCTTATCTTGAGTCAGTCCCACTGACTCTGACATACCTACTTCCATTGCCTGAGTTAACTGTATCAATTCATCTCATCCAGGTTCTTCCTCTCCTCCACTTTCCTTTCACCCTTTCGAGCATAATGTTCTTCTCCAGTGACTGGTTCTTCCTGGCTACGTGTCCAAATATATGAGGCAGAGCTTACAAAATCCTAGCCTCCAAGGAGAAACTTGGTTTCACCTTATTTATTTATTTTTGGAGAAGTCCTTAGTACAATGCTCTGATTGATGTTCCTTGGAGGTAAGAGGCTATTTTCTTTGTCAATAACTGAGAAAGCTCCAACTGCCTCTCCCTTTAGAGACTATTTGCTCTGGCAAATGGGGAGGGTCCAAGAGTTTCTTTTAATCACAGAAAGGAAGACCTTGTTCTTGCTTGAGCAACATCCAGGGAAGTCTGAGTTTTCTTGGGAAGGATCTAGAACTTGCCCTGGTGTGACGGGTGCAGACTTGAAAATCTTGTAGTGTGGCTGGCCTTCAGGGGTTGATGGCTAGCTGTTTTGAATGAGGTAGCCCTATTTATCTCTGACCTGTCATTTTTTTTATATCCAAAATTCTGTTTATTGAGATAATTTCATCTTGATTTTTTTCTTAATGCTGCTTCCGTCTGAAAGAGCATCCTTCTGTAAGCTTTGCTTTTCCTCCTGTAGGCTGACAGAGAACAGTGGAGCAGACAACACATAAAACTACTGTTTGTGCATGGCTGAAGACCGTGGTGATTTTATAGCATCCTGGACATTTCACATCCATGAAGTAAGAATTCGGGTTCTGCACCAGGCGCTTCTTCTTGTGTTTCCTCTTCTCCTCTTCTGGAGAGGGATGAAGGAGATCCTTTGTGAGAGGCATGGTGGCATGCGGAGGTCACAGCCGGAAAGGAGCGAGAGTGTGACCTGTCATTTTTCCTGTTACTCAGTGCATGATGTTTCTAACATCGAGTTGAGCTATTATATATAGCCAAGAGATCTACAATAGCTTGTAGGAAGTTAAGCATCACTGATTCCATACACTGCCTGCCATTAGACCTAAGACTGACAATTTTCTAAGAAGAGACCTGTTGTCTGGGTAAAAAGCTACTTTTAACTCAAGTTGGGGCCTACAGTTTCTTTCTGTGGTGTCCCTAGCTTATTTCAATCCTCTGCCAAGTTTATGGGCATAAATACTTTCAGAATACTGGAAGACCTCACTTCTTGGACCAGTTCCGGTATTCTAACCTGAGCAGTAGCAGGACCTGGGGTAGAAGCTGAATGCCTTCCCTTAGAGAAGAACGTGCTTCGCAGGATTTGCACTAAAGTGCAACCTCAGGGACAGCAACCTGGGAGCATGTTGTTATGGGAAGTGGTTTCAGACAGACTCCTGATCACTTGCCCTCCTCTAAGAGTTTGTTAAATCTTTTCCACCATCTCTGTGGAACTTTACTCTCACTTTGCATGTGCAGCAACCAAAGTTTAGAGAGGATAAGACTGAAAAGTCACAGATAGTCAAGATACTTGGCTGAACCCCTGGTGGGGTGACATACTCACTCACTGGAGACTCATCATAACTGACCCTCAGGCGGGTTTCTGAGGCTGTAAATCTTGGAAACAGGCAGGCTATTGTCCATTTTTTTCTCTTAAAGCAGCTGGGGTATTTGACCTAACTCTAACCTTAACCCTAACTCTAATCCTAACCGCTCCAGAGGGTCGCCCTTTGGGTTAGCCGCACAAGTCTCTACAGATTCTATCACCAAAACACTCTCCTGGTGGGGTAATGCCTAACGTTTACAACCTGGCAAACAGGTGGAGGGAGGGTTGCTACAGCTGGACGACAGTGGCAGTGAATATGCTTTATATTCAAGCTACTAATCTTGGAGTCCGGAGTTCTCTGTGGAGGATGCGAAGAACTCAGAACTGGTAGCCCAAGGCAGACTGCCTAGGAAGTCACAATATGCTGTCACAGGGCTCACGATGCTCTAGAGCAGAAGGGAGTAAAGTGTCCACTGCGAACAGTGAACTTTGAGGATAGCGCCTCAGAGGTTGGGCCTCTGGACTGGTGAGAGGCTCGGGAAGTCGCTGTAAGAGGACATTATACTTTGGAGCCAGTAGGAGGAGGTGCGAGACCCAACATCTTCACTCACAGGGAGAAAGTGACCTTGGTCGGTCCTCATCTCTCTGGGCCTCAGTTTCCTAATCAATGAACAGGGGTAATACTACTGACTCCCATGACAGATTACTAAAAAACAGCAAAGAGCACACACAGAGCATTTCCTAGGCACGCGCGCATGTGCGAAAACACACTGCGGGCCCCACACGCACAGCGCACAAAAATCAAGGGCGCTAGGGCCTCGGAGACACCGGCAAGTGCTCCGCATCCAGTGACTCCAAGCACCGTGCGCACGCGCCAATCCGTGCCGTCACAGTCACGTGTCCAGGTATTCGGCGCAGGCAGAGGGGAGCAGGCTGTGACTGACAGAGGGTTCGACCTGCCAGCTGGAAGCATTTTTCAGGGCGGCAGGCGCAGAGGCCGTTGATTGGGAATAGCCTTAGTTAGGGGTGGGTTCCTTGCTACCCTGGTTGCTATGACGCCCGGCCCCCGCCCCCTCGGCTGGCCGCCATCTTGTTGTTGATCCGTACCCAGTGGGCAGCGCCGGGAGCTGGACGGAGCCTCCGGTGAGGGGCCGCTGCTGCGGGGTTCAGCCACCTGCGCTGCCTGCCAGGGGGCGGGCCGAAACCTGGAGGCCCGGGGGGCCCAGCTCCCGTGGGGAGCCGTGGGCGCCCGCTACCCGGGCCTGGCCGGTAAGTGACAGGGGCTGGGCCGAAAGGCCGGCCTTACGGTCGCAGGGCGGGAGGCAGCGGGGGCAGGGTCGGAGCAGGCGGGCTCAAGGTTGGGATGTCGGCCAAGCATCACTCTATCATCTCTCGAGCGTTCTGACCTGCTGTCCGTGGTACCTTCCGCTGCTGTCGGCAGTTCAGAGGGGCGGCAGAGTGGAGGACCTTGAGTCCCGCGCAGGAGTGCCAGCCGCCGGGGTAGCGGGAAACCAACTGGACGGACCACAGCCCCAGGGCGCTGAAGCGTGTCTAGTGTCGGCCCGGATCTGGTGGGACTCCAGGTGGGACATAGACGTACCTCTTTCTCTTACCTGTCACTCCTGCAAGTGATAGTCATATCAGCACTTAACGAAGCGGAGAAAGCCCGAGAGGCCAGTGTCACCCGTTCCAGGCAGGGGGAGAGCCCTCTGCGTTGCTGCCCCAGGCCTTCCTCTGGACCCACTCGGAGCTGCCCCTGCTACTCAGAACTCAGTACTCACTTTGCTTCTTGGAAGCCCTGGCTAAATAACCGGATGTCGGAGTTTTACCTTGGAATAGAATTTAATTGGTTAGTGACTGTCACTTTTTGGAGTGTGTGTAGTATAAGGTCTTCCTCTTTTTGGCTCGGGGAGAAAACTGGTATTATGGTCATAACTTGGTTGATTTTCTCTTCTAAAGCGATTTTCCACCAATTTGGCCAGGACACAAATACAGGAGTGTGTTAAGAACTGAAATCCTATTTTGTTATCGCGTATAGTACTGAATTTCCACATTAACGTTTAACACACTTAATTTATCTTGCTCATGGAAAAGAGTCTGTCAAGTTCCTTCTCCTTTGAGAGAGTAGGATGTGAAGGTGTTCAGGACTAGGAACAGTTTTGATAGCTCTCCAACGTATTTTTCTTTTTCTGTGTTCCCTTAGCTCCTCCACAGCAGCTTTTTGTATGATTCTGACTGGAGTAGACTCATAGCGACTCTGTGCATGACTAATCTGGCCCCTGGGCTATCTTGTGCCATCCTTATCATCTCTGACATCCTTGAATCCATTGCTGCAGGCACTGTCAGCCCACGTAGTTGAGGGTCTTTTCCCTGCACCTCCTCCTTTCCAAGCGTAATGTCCCTTTCCAAGGAGTAGTCCTTCCTAACAGTGTACCCCAAGTATGTGAGCTACAGCTTCCCATCACTGTCTCTAAAAAGCATTCTGGCTGTACTTTCTTCAAGACGTTTGTTCTTCTGGCTGTCAGTGGGATATCCAGCACTCTTCTCCAACACCACAATCTAGTTCATTAATTCATCTTCTGTCTTCTTTATTCATTGTCCAGCTCTCAGATTCATAGCGAATGATTGAAAAGACCATGGCCTGACTAATTGAAGCTTAGTCATTTTTAAAGAAAGAAATAAAATTTTTATTTTATACTAGTTTACTTAGAAAGTTCCTGTACATTAATTTTCACACTGGATCTTTCCCATTTGCTTTGTGCGACCTTAGATTAACCATCCCACCCTCCTCTGCCCATCTGACACTGTTCCTCGGTTCTTTGGAGACATCTCTGACAGCAGGTTTTACCAATGCAATTTTCTCCTGGTTTCCTGACTACTGTTAGCAAGGGATGGTGGATCTAAGTAAGATGAGATTGTTGATAATTTCAGCCTTTTCTCCATCTATCATGATGTTGCCTATAGTCTCAGTGGTGAAGAAAGGCTGCATAAGACACCAGGAAGTCAAACAGCTTGTCC